TTTTTTTTTTTTTTTTTTTTTTTTTTTTTTGTCAAGGGATCACCTACAGAGCACGATATTTGTTGATTTTCATGGTCATAGTCTTATCCAAAGTGTTCATATGGCAGCTTCAGAAGCTGTGCTACCAAAGTATTAGCGAACATACTTAGGCAGGCACCACTCGGATATATAAAAACACTACCAACACCAAAATGCAAAGAATGGCCGGAAAATGCGTCAGTTGAGCATAAGGGATTCAAATGAGGACATTGAGCTAACATCTCTACCGCCACAAAAACAACCGAACAATGCCGCAAAAAAAAAAAAAAAAGGAAACTGGCAATTCAAAATCAGCATTTTTTTCAGCGATATTCATATTTACTGTGTTGTGCAACAGAAGCATTTTATCTGGCCTACAAAGACTTGTAAACTCCGAATGCTTTCAAGACGTGAAAACCACAACAGTCCCGCACGTCGTGCTGTTGTGTGAAGGGGAGAAGTGAGGTCTCCAAGATAACAAATTATTTCAAAACAAAGACAATCACAATTGTTGCACCAAGGAAAATTGGGTACAATGAATTAATTAGCTGAAGTCAGTGCTTCCTTGGAAATCCTGTATCTGTAACACAAACTGCTTAAACTCAATCTCAATATATTACTTACAAAACAAGAATCTTTACGGCCAGACATTTTATTTATAAAAGATATATATATATACAGATAAGAATATTCTGATGAATACATAAAACGAAGAATTAAAAAAAATTTAGCAATTCTTTGCTTTCAAAGTTAGACATTAGAGGAACATCAAAAAGCCCTACGAAGAAATCGGAGAACGACTACAAGCAGATATGCAAAAAACACTATCCCTAGAGTTTCTGAAAAATGGCAAAAGATAAGGAACCTCTATCGAACTGGAACAAAAAGCCACTCACCCACTTTCGAACAAAGTTATTAATGAATTCAAAACTACGTTCTTTACAGAAAAATTGTCTAGATCACTAGTAAGTGTTACAGCTGAGCATTAAGACATTGCAAAAGACCATTTGACATTCTGCATTTCCGTAATGAGAACAAACAGTAAAGAAATTTTGCCACATTTATGCAAACACAGCACAAGCGGATAACATAATCGTGAACATCAATTGCTATTCCTGCTCCAGTATACAAATAAAAACTTTCTGTTAACAGTCGTAATACATTTGCTGACCCTCAAATAATTTTCTGCAACAGACTGTTGCTCAGCTACAAAACTAGTTAGTGACCATAAAAAACTTGCTGTAAAGAACTTGGTAGCAACTTACTCTCATGGTCAGTGACAAAATTGCATAAAAGCGATCGGGTGGTTCTTCTGTTCCAGGTGCTGTAGAATTCCAATATTTTTGAAGGGTTAAGCGACGGCACTGCTAACATATAAGTTTGAAGTCGATTTCCAACGTCTTCGTAACAGGTTTAAAACTTAATTGTGTTAACAACTTGAAACACTGTAATTCCCCTCTGATGTCTAATTTTAAGGCCAGAAAGCTCGGCTTAAGTACTTTTATTCAGACGAACGTCGGTATCGTTCTAAACAACAATAAAAGAAAGAACATTGTGTAACTAGTTTCAAAAAGACACAGCATAAAAAAAAAGAAAAATATGAAAAACCAAAATTTTTTAAAAGCATTCAGCCGAAACAAATTCAGAAAATGGCCAAAAATGGTTCTAACGGGATCAACTCTGACTCTCGTGGCGTTCGACAACAACGCTCTTCAACAGAGAAAGTATGAGCAAATTGAAAAATAAGCAAAAAAATTTTTTTGAAACCTTTCTTCAGTATTTTCCAATTATAATCCCAATCGCAGAGGAATGTGGACTGGAAAAAAAAAAGAAAGAGCACAAAAAATTTCTAGCTTTCAAGGAGCTTAGATACTTTATAACTCTTTACTCTTGACACGTGGAACGGCAGTAGTATCTGTTGTTGCATCACCTTTTTTACAAGAAAGACTACCATTGCTATCAAATACTCGAAATCAAACAAAAATTTCAAATACAGCTGCTCACAAAGCATAAATGTAACAATATAAATAAAATTTTGTTAAGTAAGCACTCAGTTCATTAACATCTAAAGACCACAATTGATTCAGTTTAAGCACCTTTCAAAAAGTTACTCGATATTTCCCTTCTCCCACCTTTTCATTACTTCATTTTTGCTTTTTGAAGACGTCTCCTACCAGAATTACTGTCACTGAGAAAAATTTTTTAGCGTCTCCATAACCATACATCTGCACTCACTTTACAAAACGTGATTTGTTTTTTCACGAGCTTTGTTTGCCTTGAGGTAAAACACTGACTTCTTTTAACAGTGAGAAAGTATATATTTCTGAATGAACCACAACTCACTCAATTTAATAGTATTTCAACCGTAATTGTAAATATTCTTTCTTGAGCAAATAAACATTTGGTTTCATAATTGCCCCCTGTTTAAAACGTGCAGCCGACATTGGGGTCTAATCACCAGCTGCAGCGCTTTAGGCTCCCGTTAAAATCTCCTCCGTTTGTGCTTGAGATTATAATAGAAAATTACCTTTTTTACTCAACACCATAAACGGTGTGTAAAGAATGAAAAAAAAAAGAAAGAAAAATAATAGTTTGGAAAAAAGAAAGGAATTGAAGGGTACATGAACAAACCTTCAAAAGTTCTTGGACGCAACGTGCTGCACCAGCCTTTATAGCACAAAAAAGTGGCGTGTCGCCTTTCAAATTACGAGAATTCAGCAGTTGACAGTCTGGCAGCTCTATAAGGAACTCGCGAAGCGCTTCCCGATGCATGTCAGAAGTTGCAGCCAAGTGGAAGACTGTATTTCCTTTCTAAGCATAGCTTGTTATACTTCCCTCTATGACAAATAATTTGAAAAAAAAAAAGACAATAATTGTAAAATACGGTGACTAGCGATTAAATTACTTCATCGGTAGCATACATATCAGCACCGCACTCGATTAAAGCACGTATCGAATGAATACGGCCGCTTGCAGCTGCAGCAAGGAGTGGGGTTTCACCTTTGAAGTTTCGAGCCTATAAGGCAATTGTTAGGCACCACAGGAACTGTGAGGAATTGAATTTATGTACTTACTTCGATGTACCAGCCAGCATCGACCAAAAATTTCACTGTTTCGTACTGGTCATGAGTACCAGCAAGATGCAAAGCTGTTGCGCCATTATTGTCCTTCTCATATTTATCAAGCATAGGATTAACCTCAAGCATAGTGCGCAAAGACGGCTCGACACCGTACATAGCTGCCCACATAAAAGCAGTATGCCCATTGTTTGTTCGGGCATCCTGAAAGAGTTACAGTCCTCTTAAGTAAAAAAGAATTAGAACAAACAATGCTGATGTAGACGAGGCTTACAACAAGACTGTTAGCACGATACAACAGTCGAACACAAGAAGTGAACGATCTCATAGCAGCAAAATGCAAAGGTGTAGCTCCCTGACTGTCTTTATGAGACGGCAATGCACCATGTGCAAGCAATACAGCAACCTGTCGTGATATTCCACGAGAGGCAGCGTGGTGTAGCGCTGTACGACAGTTGATATCCTCCTCCTGGAACTCGAAAGTAATCAACAAAAACGTTGTCCTATTTAAAGCTCACTTTTGAAGATAAGACCAAAGTAATAAATATGGAAAATAGATAAATAGAATCCCATTGAAAAGTATATTTAAGACATCTGCTATACCTCAACATCCACATTCTTGGTGAACAAGCCATTGACAACACCATAGGCATCATTGATAACAGCGAACATTAAAGGGGTCAAACCAGTATTGGTACGATGGAACATTAGTTCTGGACATTTTGATAACAATAACTCCACAATTTTTTTTACGACTGTAATGTAAACATGGATGAGGACCAGAGAACAATGAGATAAAACCAGAAAACCCGTGTAAGTGGATATCAAACCTTCTTCACATTTAACACAAGATCCGCTGTCTTGGTCATTATCATCGAAACAGGTGCTAACTGGATTTTTACAAGTATCGACAAGCACATTCCGCTCTGTGAAGGTATTAAAGCAAATTCTTGTTCCCGAACAGCGGTTCATAGACATTTCTATAAGAACTGTGCCTCTGAAATGTTTAGATCAAAACAAAAGTCAATCTGCTAAAAGAACAACAACAAAGAAAACATGTAAAAAAGATTACAATGCGGCCCAGAAACTTCTAGATATACCCGAATAAAGGTTCAAAAAACGAAACACACAATATCTTAGTTTAAAAGCAAAATTACTCACGTCCTCAGCGTACACAAGAGAGTTTTTATTAAAGTCCGACGGAGAGATTTAGCCGACTTTCTGACTCTTGCAGACAGCCTAGTTCTGCTAAACGTGTTCTCGAAATCGCTTGTTACAAAAAAACGCACTATACGGTAACTCCTCCACAAACAAGCCACATGTAAAGGATTTTGACGGAAGATATTACAAGTCAACAAAGCTTCTTCAACTGCAACCCACCCCGCTTTTGATGAAAGAGTTTTGAGCATCATCTAAAATAAAATTCCTCTTTTCAATTACAAG